ATAAATCATGACAGAATAGAGTTATCAAATACAATCATTTCCCCTCAAGTTTAGTATCATTGATAAATGGTCATCTTTTATAACCATTTTTACTCACTAACCCCATAACCCAAATTTAAAAATCTAGAGACAAATGACAGCCTGTTCTTGGGCTAGTTGCTTTTGTGACTACAAGGACACTAGACCAAAACAAAGTCTCCAAGCCATCCCAGGCAGATTCCCATGTACCAAGTAGTGCATTATTAACTCTTAGTGGTCAGAGTGCTCAAGAAAAACCCTCAGGCCAAAGCTACTGCAGTTATTATTCAAATTCTGGTATAATACAAGGTTTACATTTTTATATTTTTATATGATTTGTTTATATGTTTAATTCTGGAAATCTTTTGTTCTTTATTCATATGACACCACAGTAGCATTGCATGTGCTACCTTTGCTAAGAAAGGGAGGTCCAGACATCTCATTTTTTAAATCATCTTTCTACATTATTTTTTTACTCATCATATAAGTCTCTGTGTAGGACAGAGGTAACTTCAGCTAATCTAACTGTGTTACTGTATATGCCACATCATTGCCTGAGTGTGTAGTGGGAAGAGGTTTACAATCTGAAATGTGCCCAACCCCTCTAGCCCACTGAATCATGTTGACTTTTTTAGTTTACTTTGTTTTGATTATCTTGTTCCTGAGTAAATACAGGGACAGATGTTTCAAGAATGTCTTATAACCTCATAAAGAGACCTCTGGCTTCTTTATGTGTGTCACAACTTCCAAGGCATAAGAAAGACCTTCAAGTAGATAAGCTATCTCCCTAAAAGTGGGAGAAGTAGTATGTTTAGGTCTTTCCTGGGGAAGATTAGAAGCAGTACTTTTGGAAGAAGACATAAATGATTCATAAGAAATTTCCACCAATCCAATATCCCCAAATTGTGCAAATGAAAGTCTCTCAAGCATGCAACAGGAGATGAAGACCAAAGAAGGCACAGTGGGCATCATGTGGCTCAGCTTTTTGGATCTTTATCAAGCAGCTATGTTGGCCTTATGACTTTTGCCATTCCCATCAGATATGGCTGTGCCAATTAGTATAGATGGCTATTAATCTGTACTCCTTAATTAAATATTATATTTTTAAATGTGCTGCACAAACACAATTTCCCAAACAACAGTAGAAACTTACATACAGTATAACAAAAATAACTTTAAATTTATAGCAATAGACTAAAATCCAAACTAATGTAAATTATTTTGAAATTAATAGATGCTTTTCTAGATTAAGTAGATATAAAAATCTACACTTTTATCCTTTCATTTTTATATCCCCTCTTTTTTCTATTTAGCATTTTTTCTTCACTTAACTTTTTTCTGAGAATGACCAGTAACAATTTGTAACCAACTCATCTTGATGACGAACATCCATAACCAATCTTTTGGGAATGTGGATGTCACTTTCTAGACTACTTCCTGTTGTTTGTGGACACTGTTATCTTTGGGGGAACATTGATGAAGTCCAAGCTGGAGTAGCCTGTGAGGCTGGAATATCTCAGCTAGCATCCTTGAAGCTGTTTTAGATGCTGGATCACTTGGTCCATCTATTTTTACTGGTGTCTGGTCCCCTTGCCCTGAAAATATATAGACTTTTAATGGTTACATACATATCTGTATTAATACAAGTATAGACTGTGCATTGTACATAAGGAGCCGAAGATGAATTTTTGATATGTGTTTGAGCAGGTAAAATATACATCACGTGTCTTGTAGTCCTTTTCAGTTTTTTTCTTTATGTTTGTAACCAGGATTTTCAGGGGATCCTCCTTGATCAAATGTAATTTTTCTTTAACCTGGAGTAAACCCACAGCTTCCCACTTCCTATGGAAATAAAAGCATAACCTTTCCCCTAAAGCTTAAATTTGGCTTAAATTTTGAAGCAAGATATTTTTAAAATATATAGGTTGGTTTAATCTAGCAGCTTTAATCCAGTGTCTCTTAGCAATTCCTTTCTCAGCAGTCAAAAAAATTCAAAGACAACATAATTACATTCAGTATACAGACTCTGTGTATTTTCTGTCTTTATGTGGCTTTATATATATATATATATATATATATATATATATATATATTACTTCACTCCCTTTGGAACTTCATTATTTTTAAACTATATTTTTCTATGACTATATATACCCTTTGTCTTCTCTCTCCCACACCTGTGTATACTTTTAAACACACTCTAACCCGTTTAGAGGTTTTTCCTGTCTGAATTTGTCTTTACTTCGTAACTGTAATCCTTTTCTGTCTGCATGAACAAAATTCCAATCCCGCCATGCAGTGTGCTGGTGGAGCTTGTGTGGCAGTTTAAGCCTGCAGGCAGCAGCTGTGTGAAGCAAGACTGCAGGAACCTGCCACGCAGCTTAGCTCACAACCATTGCTGGCTGGCTCCATTTTGAAGGCAGCTGTCAGGAGACATGTCCCTGCACTGCAGCTGGCATGAGATTATGAGACTAGAAGCTGTGTTTGTCTGTTTTTGTGTGTTTAGAACCTTTTATAAAGCTTTTTCAGGTTTTCTGTGGAAATTTTTGCCAAACATTTGGGCGCCATTTGTAGGGGGGGAGTTTTCTTCTCCTGTAGCTCTCAAATAAACACACTGAGGTTTATATTAATTATAAATGCTTGGCCAATAGCTCAGGCTTGTTAGTACCTAACTCTTGCACTTTAAATTAGCCTATATTTCTTATCTACACTTTCCCATGTGGCTCACAGCTTGTTACCTCACTGCATCTGCTGGTGTCTCCCTCAACTCCACCCTTCTTCATTCCAGCATCCTTAGTTTGGTTGCCCCACCTATTTTTTCTGCCTGACTATCAGCCAATCAGCATTTTATTAAACCAATTTAAGTGATAAGCCTTTATAGTATACAAGAGGATTACTCCATAGAACCTGAATACCTGGAAGTATGTGCTGCTTAGAGAAGGCTAAGATCCTCAAGGCAAGGCACTTTTGAAGTTTACAGTGCGACTGCTTACATTGAGACTGTAACTACAGAGTTCATGAAACTGAGACCTTATTGAGATACATTCAAGTAAAATAGTTTATTAAGTGGGGTGGTTACAGTATGTTTAAAATCTTAGAAGTTTGTAAATAGAATTTGCAAAAAATTCTACAGGAATTTTTTATCTTAAAAAAATATAGACAGTAGTCGGGTGGTGTTGGCACACGCCTTTAATCCCAGCACTCAGGAGGCAGAGGCAGGTGGATCTCTGTGAGTTCGAGGCCAGCTTGGTCTACAAGAGCTAGTTCCAGGACAAGCTTCAATGCTATAGAGAAACCCCTTCTTCTGTCTCTCCCTCTCCCCCTTCCCCTATCTAGACATACTCATATGCCAGTTCCGAGGAAGTCACACTGTAGCTGATTATTTGCTTTCTTACAGGATTTCCAAATGGCATGATATTCCTATTTTGAAGGTGTTGGGTGGAAACAATAGTTTACTTGTACAGTGAGATTTGACGTTGATTGTATGTAGCACACTGGATGAGAGAGTGGGAACATTTTTACAATGTCCTTCAAGCAGACAAAGCTTAATCTAGAAAGAACCAAAAGTTAAACTTTATAGATTTGCCAAAAAGTCACCTATTTTTTCATCACCTAGTTCAAAAGTTGGTACTAAGGTCCCTAAATAGTACAATGCAGTAAAATCAAAACAAATCCTTTTATTTGGTTCATTTATAGTTTTATTTTATGCCAAGTACTTAGCTTTATTTTTGTTTTTGTTTATAATAACCTGTTATCAAATTATTTTATTTATTATTTATCAAGTTATTTTAATAAAACCTTCTAAGAAGTTTTTAATCCTTTATGGAAAAACAACTTAAAGATAACAAACCAACTAGTTAAGTTTAGAAACTATAGCCAAATAGAGATGAAACTGTTGTGGAATATTAGTTTAAAATATGCTACATTTGTTTATGCTGTAAAATATTTGCTTAATGATGCAAAGATGTGTTGTATTTTTTATGTTACATCTGTTTAACTCTGTAAAGCTGTATTACTTTCCCTGTCTGACATACCTGATTGGTCTAATTAAGAGCTGAACAAACAATAGCCAGACAGAAGAGAGAAATAGGTGGGGCTGCCATGCGGAGAGAATAAATAAGAGAGATCCAGGGAAGAGAGAAGAGAGCGGGGGAGGAGCGAGAAGAAGAGAGGAGGACACCAGGGGCTAGCCGCGCAGCCAGCCACAGAGTAAGAAGGAAAAGAAAGATATAAAGAATAAAGAAAGGCAGAAAGCCCAGAGGCAAAATGTTGATAAAGAGAAATGAGATAATTTAAGTTAGAAAATCTGGCGAGAAATTAACCATGCTAAGGCTGGGCATTCATAAGTAAGAATAAGTCTCTGGGTATTTATTTGAGATCTGGGTGGGAGGCTCCCAAAGAGTGAAAAAAAAAAACAACCCAAACCCGACTACCTAAAAGTGTGCTTTTACCTTTCTGTTAGCAATTTTAGATTTTTACTAATTTATCAGAAGAGTGATTTTAAATTTCCCTTCTACTCAGCATATTAAAAAACATTTGAGAGCTGGGAATATATCTCAGGGTCAGGTGGAGCCCCTGACTAGCATGCTTGAGGTCCTAGGTTCTAAATTCCCAGTATTTCCAAGGTGGTGGTGGTGGTGTTTTGGGTCTTATTGGCACCTTGGAGTGGGAATCAAGGCAGTTTCCAAAATAAGGTGGAAACGGAACACTTGAAGAACCAGGAACAGTGTGCATTTCCCTCCTAGCCAGGTTGGGTTGGAACTGTTTAAGAGCAGAAACCAGGCAACCAGACTAACCTTTAGGCCAGAGAAAATTCTCTGAAAAGCCAAGTGTTTCCTTTGGTGGATGGAGCAGGCCTTTCCCTAATCCTAGGACCCTTGCCAGCTCCATAGGATGCAGCAGCTGGTCTGGGTGGGGCTGTGTTCTGTTTTCTCTTCCCTCTTCACGCTGTTTCATGCCTCTTTCCCCGTTGCTTTACGCAGGTGTCAGTCACTGAAGTTGAACAGAAGGCCCTCCTGTCCGACATGAGTAACGGCCCCACTCAGCGGAAGCCCGTGAGATCTGGTCACAGCAGACCCAGATAGATGCCAAGACCAACTTCCTCTCTCCCTCTCTCTCCCACAGAACACACTCTAATGGCGAAAGGCTGAAGGCAGGTGTGGGACTTTTACTTGTCTCTATCTGTCCTTCCCAGGAGAACTAATTCAGCATGATCTAGCCCAGGGCCTTTCATTTGCAAGGAGAGAAAAATAAACCTAAGCAGATGAAGTTTGGCTTCTTGTCTCCAAATACACGTCACAGAAATACAGCCAAGTCTGCTCCAGACTCGCACATGCTTCACCTCGGAGAGCCGCTCCTGTGTGCTCTTGCACATAGTACGGCTCTCACTATACTTTTTAAGTTTATTTAAAAATATCGGTACTTTTGCCATATGATTTTTTTTCTAAAAGTTAAAAAAATAACAAATAAATAAAGTGAAGACTTAATGTCATCGACTTCTGGTCTTCATGTATACACTAACAGGCACCTGCACATGCAAGCACACAGCATATGCACACACACACACACACACACACACACACACATGCCATAAACACATCTTTTCTAAAAAGAGATGTTCTTTTTTTATCGGAAGTATTGCAAGCCGTGTCTTGGTCTGCTATAAAGATCCTGCAATAAAAGTCCTGCTAATTCACACTCACCGCAAAGAGAAATGAATTCTATGCCTTGTAATTTCTTGTCATGTTGGTGCAGGAGCGGAGGCTGTTTAACTGAGGCTGAAGGGCAAACCAATAATAAGGTGAGTGAGGAGCCACTGTTGTTGGGGATAGTCCAAGAATTTGTTTTCCCTCAGGACTGGCTGGCTTCAAGCCAGCACACCTCATCGTTTCTTCTCTTTTATTCCCCTCACTTTCTCCTTCCGCCTCCTATAAGGAAGAACTCTTAAACCTCCTGTTTGGGCAGTGTTGTGGGTCAAACCCAGGATCCTACTCATATTAGGCAAGTGCCCTATCACCAAACCATACCCAGTTTCCTATTTACCCATTGAACACCCCAAAAGATATTTCTGAGAAGCTTGACGACCTCTAAGGGTTGGCTATACTTTGAAAGCTTTAAAGTCTCTTCTTCATCCTCCTATGGTGACCAGGGACTAAGTTGAGCATATGATATAACAGAACATGGTGACTAGCTATTCACTGGGGGACACTGAATCTAAATAGGTTTCAAACGAGAAGCTAAGGTCAAGGGCCATACAAAGCACATTTAGAAAGTATAAAACCCTAAAACAGAGAACGAGGGTCAGGGAATGGAGAGGGCTCACAGTCATCCTGGTCTTCTGCAGGGTGCTGGGATTCTGGTCTTTGGGTGCCATTAACACTAATTTTTCAGGCCCCAGAAGTTGAACCTTGATAGAGCATGCCCATTTCCCATGTCAGGAAGACACTGTGAAGCTAACGCCATTGGCTTAAGTCCCTTGCCGCCTACTTTTGTGACTTCTTTTCTAACCACTGAGTTTATGCAGAGAGCCTAGGTAGGGGTTATTATGGGTAGAAGGTTATTTGGTAGATTGGGGCAACTCACCACTGATTCCTCTGCCCCATGGCGTATGAAAGTGGTGGTGGGGGAGATCCTAGGCATGAAAAGGCTTAAATGGGGAAGAGAGTGGGAGAATGGGGGGAAGATGGGGGTGGAGGATGGTCAATAAAAACAAGGGATTATGAAAAAGAAATCACAAAGAAACTCATTGTTTTATAAGCTAATTTAAAATATAAAGTTAAAAAGGAGCTGAGAATGCAGGTACCCTACGTGGGTAGAAAATACAGCTCCCAGAGGTCACGGGTAGTGTTTGGGTTTTCAGTGAAAATCACGGCATCATGTGAAGCACACCTCCATAAGTGTTGTTGGGCAGACAGGTCCCAGTGGCCCCCAAAATAATATGGTCTAGTGGCATTGTTCTTGATTGCCCACCAGAAGTAAATGGTAGGATCGTATTCCTGAAGAGACCACACATTCTGATTACAGGACATAGGGAAATCAAGTTGGAAACGTGCTGGGAGCTTCCTCTCTGCTGTCCAGGTTACTGGGAGAGACGGCTCATCAGGAGTCCCTTACTCAGCTGTGAGCTCAGCATGCCAGGTTCTGCTAGGAAACATCTAACCCGCTGGGGACATAGTGGCATGATGGCTTTGGAAGCAACCGACCTCTTCCTGGTTGGGTTGGAGGCCCACTCTGAGGGAAGGAAAACACACTTGGTACTGTAAACCAGGTCAAAACTCTAAAGCTAGGGAGGTCATAGGGTCCATAGAGGAACCTACTCCATTTGGGTTTGCTCTTTTCTTCTTTCTAGGAGATGACACACTGAACTGCAACAAACATTTGTGTGAATCCCTCCAACCAAGCTTGACTGAATTTTGTGCTACCTGGTGGTGTAGGCAGATGTTTCATTAGTCTCAACTGTTATTTCAGGGCCCCATGTACAGACAGTTTTAGTTCTCAGGTCTGTGTGTGAGAGCCCAAATGAACTAGAAAATGGGAAGATACTATGATTTCTCCATGGAGGAGTCCCTAAATTCCCAATAGCAGCTCAATTATTTAATCTGACATGGTGTGAAGCTGTTTAAAAAACAAAGCAAAACATCCATTTGATTAACTGATTGACTGCTGAGTGTGAAATGATGTGGTTTGACTCTAACAAAGATCAGTGTTTAGTGAAGGAGATGGATAGAAACGCATATTCCGGTACAAGGACGGCAGTACCTCAAGCTCTTGCTGGAAGCACCTCCTGGGTTTGTGTTGAACAGGATGAGATCTGCCACCAGCAGGCAAGTGCAGGCCGTCTCCTGGCTTCAGGATTCTAAGAGAGACCAGTATCTAAGGATCACAGGTTACCTCATGCCTGAATCATGCCCAGCACCTGAAGTTTCCCAGTATCCACCAAACTATTGTTCTGGTACTCATAATCCCATGTGTTAGCCCAGCCCCCACCCCACGTCGCTGCTTCTGGAACAGAGACACATTATAAGTAATGTTAAGAACAGAATAATTTGTGTTTTGCTCAGGTGATATTTGAATCATGCCTATTTCCAGTCTGGCTGTTGCCAGAGAACTGACATCTCCCTTCCTGATTCCTGGCTCACTCCCTGCTGGAACTCAGTCTCCTAGGGCTGGCTGTGTGGAGAGTGCAGCTGGCATGAAATCAGACATGTAAAGCTCAGGGAATGAGCATTGAGCATCTAGCACATCTTAATCATGGCTAATCTAGCACCACGTAAGAGCGGATGCCATTTGTCATAGAGAAGGTTGGCAATGGTGGGTAAATAAACTGTCTGTCTCTTTGAGCAGTTCTTTGTAGTGTGTGGGAGGAAATTCTTTTGTTTGTTGTTCTGTCAAGGTTTCTTTGTAGCCTTGGAGCCTATCCTTGAACTAGCTCTTGTAGACCAGGCTGGCCTTGAACTCATGGAGTTCTGTCTGCCTCTGCCTCCCAAGAGCTGAGATTAAAAACAGGCACCACCATCATCCGGCTTGTGGGAGAAAATTCTTACTGCATGCAAAAAGACAACAATTACTTGGATAAGTCAAGCTTTTATCGCTGTGACAAGTATCTGAGAAAAATTAACTAAAGTACAAAAAGGAGAAAATGTTTATTTTACCTAATGGTTTCAGTCCATGGGCAACTGGTTCCGTTGCTGTGGACTTCACAGAGGACTGAATGTCATGATGTGGGCAAAGTCGCTCACCTTGTAGCAGACAGGAAGCAGAGGCGAAGATCTTTTATCTTTCTTCAGAGCCTACTCTGGTGACCTGTTCCCTCCTACTAGCCACATCTCCTGCTCTCTACCCCCTCCTCAAACTCACAGATCAGCTCCTCGGAGCCCTTAGGACCCAGTTACTTCCTAAATGGGCAATAATACCACCAATAGATAAGCCCGAAGGAAAAATTCACATTAAACTATATCCCCACTGGCAGTGGCACCAGGATTTATCCCTACTGCATGTCCTGGGCTCTTGTGAACCTATTTTCTTTGGATGATACCTTGCTCAGCCTATATGAAGTAGGGAGGGCCTTGGACCTTCCCCAAAGCAATGTACCTTACCCTCTCTGAGAACTGGATAGGGGTGTAGTGGGAGGGTATATGAGGGGATGGGAGGAGGGGAGAGAATGGGAACTTGGATTGGTATGTATAATGAAAAACGATAGTTTGTTTTCCTCCTCCTCCTCTTCTTCCTCTTCCTTATTCTTCTTCTTCTTTAAAAAACTATGATATCCCAACCCTGAGCCTCCAAAGACTCATATGCATTTCACAATACAAAATTAATTAAGTCCACCTTCAAGAATCTCTGGTAGTCTTAATGGTTTCAACATTTCTCAATTTAATTTAAACATCTCTGCAACTAAAGGCACACTTACCTGTGATTCTCTGCACAGCTTAAAACTGAGGGTATATCCAATGTATACATATAATGGCCCATGATAAATATGTCTGTTCCAAAAAGGAGGGGTAGGAGAATGCTAAGGAAGGATCAACCCAACAAGATGGAAATATGGAGGACAAGCATCATATCTGCAGCTCCGTGACCAGGAGTGAGGGTGGAGAATGTCATGCTGTGAGCTCTACTGGTCCTGGGAAGCACTACTCTTATGGTCTCGTAATGCGTCCACAAAATGTATCTCTTGGATCGGCTCTGTCTACTGCCTGTAGCTTTCCTCAGTAGGCATCCAGTATTTGGGGCATCTCCAGCATCCCAGGGGTCTATAAATCTGTCTTAAGTTTCATCCTCACAACTTCATGCATTGCCCTTCGGGTCTTCCTGTGGTGATCTTAACCCTGCTACACATTTCTTCATCCCTCAACCTTTCTTTGAAATCGAGACAGAAGCCCCCACCGAGTCCACAGTCCTTACATTCTTACATGCATGCAAAGCCAGTATTACATGGACAAATCAGTGCCTGCGGCCCACTCAGACAGCAGCCCAGGCCCCTCTGAGTGTCTGGATGACCAGATGGGAAAATAATTCCCTAGGTGGTCCTGTAACAGAAGGAGATTTGGCTCTTTCTTCTCAAAACCAAGTCTTTGAGATGAGTTGAAAACTCTGCACAAACTGAGCTCTGGACAGGAGGGATCAGGCCAGGTCCCCGTAGATGCTCAAGGCACCTCACCTGTTGTTTCAGTTCAAAATATTTGGCTTCTTTTTAAGGCAGTGGTTCTCAACCTGTGGGTCACGACTCCTTTGGGGGTTGACTAACTTTTTCACAGGGGTTGCCCAAG